AGCTCTCAAAGGAAAAGTTACAGGTTTTCATCTTGAATATAATATGTGCTATAGGTTTTATGGAGCTACTATTTATTATATTAAGGAAGTCTTCCATTTCTAAAGTTCTAAAGGTTTTTATCTTTTTCATGGATAGATGCTTTTTTTTTTTTTTTTTGAGATAGAGCGTCACTCTGTCGCCCAGGCTGGAGTGCAGTGGCACGATCTCGGCTCACTGCAACCTCCACCTCCTGGGTTCATGCAATTCTCCTGCCCCGGCATCTCAAACAGGTGGGATTACAGGTGCGGGCTACCACACCTGGCTAATTTTTTTTCTATTTTTAGTAGATACAGGGTTTTGCCATGTTGACCAGGCTGGTCTTGAACTCCTGACCTCAACTGATCCACCCACCTCGGTCTCCCTAAATGCTGGGATTACAGGCATGAGCCACCACGCCCGGCCAATGCTAAATTTTATAACTGCCATTTGCACATCTTTTAAGATGACCAAGTGATTTTTCTTCAATTTATATTGTTGTGACATTTTACTTATCTATTCTACATTCCTGAGATAAACACAGATTAACCATAATACATTACCTTTTATTTTTACATATTATTGGGTCTAATTTGCTAATATTTTGTACTAGTCTCATAAAAAGAGTTGACACATACTTCCTGTTTTTCTATTCTCTGAAAGAGTCTGTATAAGACTGGAATCATTATTTATTTATTTATTTATTTATTTTTGTATTTTTTTCTGGCAATGTTTAGCAGACTTGCCAGCAAAGCTATTTTTTGTTTTTTTGGTTTTGTGTTTTTGCTTGTTTACTTTTGCTAATCAGCTGACTTTAATATTCGCCATATAGCTATTTGAACTTTGAAGCTTTCTTTGTGAAAAGATTTTGACTATTGATCCATTTTTTTTAATTGTTAGAGAATTATCCTGGTTTCCTATTCCTCAACCTGCATTGGTAATTTTCTAAATAAATAATAAATTTTCTAACTTATTAAAAATCCATATTTTATTTTTTACTATAACTATAATAATGTCCCCCCTTTCATTTCTGCTATTATTTGTGCCTTCCTCTTTTTTTTTTTTTTTCTTTATCACTCTCCCCTGCAAGTAGCAGTGACTCAGAGCCCCAGACTCAAGCACCACTTAAGCTGCCAGGGCACTCCTGCTGCCCTTTCAGATCAGATGCTTCTGCACAGATGTTCAGCAAGCTCTGAGTATGTTGCTTGGAGGCAAATGCGTTTCAGAAAGATTAGGATGGGTCTCCATGGCACGTGTATACCTATGTAACAAACCTGCACGTTCTGCACATATATCCCAGAACTTAAAGTATAATAAAAAAAAAATTTTTTTTAAAGAGAATTAGGGTGGGTCTTCTCTTTCATTCTCAGCATTAGATGGTACCTACACTATGGGGAGATATGTATTATGTTTACCATAGTTAAGGAAATTGAGTTTTACGGAAGTTGGTTTTCTTTTTTTTTGAGACGGAGTTTTGCTCTTGTTGTCCAGGCTGGAGTACAATGGTGCGATCTCAGTTCGCTGCAACCTCTGCCTCACAGGTTCAAGCAATTCTCCTGCCTCAGCCTCCCGAGTAGCTGGGATTACAGGCATGTGCCACCGTGCCCAGCTAATTTTGTATTTTTAGTAGAGACATGGTTTCACCATGTTGGTCAGGCTGGTCTATGAACTTCTGACTCCAGGTGATCCACCCGCCTCCGCCTCCCAAAGTGCTGGGATTAAAGGCATGAGCCACCACGCCCAGCCGGAAGTTAATATGACCAAACCAAGATATACAACTGATTAAACAGAACCCTAGGATTCTGGGATGTTTTCCAACACCAACCACTTCTCTAATTCAACAGACCAAGTATGTTTCTAATGATTCAATTTAATTCTGACACTAACTACCCAGAGTTAGGGTAAGTTAGGGTGAGCAGTACCTCTGGGTTTCTTCATTTGAGTCTACTCTGCAACCAGCTACAGCTCTTAAATCTGAGGTAAGAGTGCCACTTACTGGTAGCCTCATCACAATGCAACTTGAAACCTGCTCACAAATTTAATTCTAAGTGCCAGTGGTATGCAAAAGAAAAAAGGCTCAGTAGGGTATACATATATTAAAACATTACATTGTAACTCACAAATAAATAAATAATTTATCAATTAAAAACAAAATAAAGCTTAAGTGCTTTGTAGCCATTCTCCTGGCTACAATACTATGAATACAACACTATTCTCCTGGAACAATACTATGAAGAAGCTTCTGTAATTTGTATCTCTGTGATTTTTTTTATTAGTAGCTTTGTGAAAACACTCCAAAGTTTAGAATCCAATTACCTAGGTCATCATGGCTCACCAGCCAAATCCAGCCTGCTGTCTGATTTTGTACTCTCACATCTAAGAATAATTGTATATGCTAAATAGTTGGAAAAAATCAGAATATTTCACATATGAAAATTATTTAAATTCAAAATTCAGTGTCCATATAGAAAGCTGTATTGGAACCGAGCTCTCTTGTTTATGCATTGTCTATGGCCGCTTTCGACCCACAGCAGTTGAGTAGCTGCAACGGAAACTGTGCAGTCCTCAATGCCTAAAATATTTACTAATTGAATCTTTACAAAAGAGTTTGCCAATTCCTGACCTAGATTCCAACCTGAGCAAATCTAAACTCTAATCCTCAATTTTCATTACTCATAAAATGGGGATAATACCTGCTAAGAGTTTTTAGGAAGATTAGAGTTATAAGCACAGAATCTCCTTAAGATACTCACAGAAGCCTAAGCTAAGACATAAGCACCTTAATATGTTCAAAGGGAACTCATAATTTCCATCTATAAATCTGTTCAGCCCAGTATCAAGTAGTATTTACAAGCATGGACTTTAGCGTCAAAATATTGGCTCCACTCTTGGTTTCACTACTTATTTGCCTACATGACTTAGTAACAACATGAGGGAATGGAGAGGCAAAGAAGTATGAAGGTTGAGCGCTCAGGCTTTGAAAACTAGAATGCCTAGTTTCCATTCTGGCTTTGCCACTCACTAGTCAGGTAATCTTGGGTAAATTATGTAACTTCCCTGACCCTCCACTTCCTCATCTGAAATGTAAGTGTAAAAAGAATACTGATTTCATTAAATAGCTGTAAGGCTGAAATGACTTTATTTATACAAACAGCTTCAAACATTGCCAGCAACTTACAGCCATAAATCCCAACAGATTTAGAAGGTTCTTCATAGGATTATTCCAAGGACTAAAGAAGAGAATGGCTACAAAGCACTTAGCACAATTTGTGGTACTTAGAAAGCTATCAAAGGACAGCTAGTACCCTTCCTACTGATTCTCTGTATTTTAGTAAAATCTGATGAGAAATCAATTGCAAACATAATTTCTCATCAGATTTCAAATAAAAACCCAACTCCTTCCCTTGACCCTCTAAATCATATACATCTGTCCTCCATCTGCTTCTCAAGCTCCAACTTCCTCCCTCACGATATTGTAGCCATCATAGCCTTTCTCATCCAAGTTATGCCAACTTTGTATCTCCTCGTGAGATATTTGCACCTGCCGTTCCCAGTAATCTTGGAGCTCAGTGCATGAGTTGAAGCTGCCTTCTTTTATGTTTTTGAGACAGGGTCTTGCTCTGTCACCCAGGCTGGAGTACAGTGGCATGACCGTGGCTCACTGCAGCCTTGACCTCCTGGACTCCAGTGATCCTTCTACTTCAGCCTCTGGAATGGCTGAAACCACAGGCATGTGCCATCACATCCAGCTAATTTTTACATTTCTTTGTAGAGACAGGGTCTCCCTATGTTGCCCAGGTGGGTCTCGAACTCCTGGACTCAAGTGATCCTCCCGCCTCAGTCTCTCGGTGGTGGAATCACAGGTGTGAGTCACCATACCTGGCAAAGTTGTCTTCTAAAGTCCTTAACAAATGTGAGGTTAGGCATGGTGGTTCACTCCTGTAATCCCAGCACTTTGGGAGGCTGGAGGATTACTTGAGCTCAGGAGTTTGAAACCAACCTGGGTAACATAGTGAGACCTCATCTCTACTCAAAGAGAAAAAAAAAATTTTAGGCCAAGAATGGTGGCTCACTCCTGTAATCCCAGCACTTTTGAGAGGCCCAGGCGGGCAGATCACGAGGTCAGGAGATCCAGGCCATCCTGGTCAACATGGTGAAACTCCTTCTCTACTAAAAATACAAAATTTTTTTTTTTTTTTTTTGAGACGGAGTCTCGTTCTGTCGCCCAGGCTGGAGTGCAGTGGCGCTATCTCGGCTCACTGCAAGCTCCGCCTCCCGGGTTTACGCCATTCTCCTGCCTCAGCCTCCCGAGTAGCTGGGACTACAGGCGCCTGCCACCTCGCCCGGTTAATTTTTTTGTATTTTTAGTAGAGACGGGGTTTCATTGTGTTAGCCAGGATGGTCTCGATCTCCTGACCTCGTGATCCGCCCGTCTCGGCCTCCCAAAGTGCTGGGATTACAGGCTTGAGCCACCGCGCCCGGCCAAAAATACAAAATTTAGTGGGCATGGTGGCACGTGCCTGTAGTCCCAGCTACTCGGGAGGCTGAGGCAGGAGCATCGCTTGAACCTGGGAGTTGGAGGTTGCAGTGGCCCCAGATTGCGCCACTGCACTCCAGCCTGGCGAAAGAGTGAGACTTCATCTCAAAAAATAAAAAAAAAAAGTTTTAAGAGATAAAAAAGAAGTGAACATGTACACATGCCTTGAAAAGAGAAGATAATGTGGACAAGGTGATTTGAACAGACAATAGAAACACAACTGGAAGCAAGATTCTTCTGAAGGTGCTGTAATGGCTGAATGGTTAAGACACAAACTATCACCTTCAAAAATCAATTCGTTTTCTTAGTTACATTTTCCTTCGCCCTTCCGACACATCCAACACTTAAACTAGCATCAGGCATAGAGGTGACCACAGTAAGTATTCATCAAATGAATACCATGAATAAATGAATAGCTGGGGAAAAACTACTCTCATAAAGAGAACACAGATTTGTACAGTCAGTTTATTTTTGCTATTTATATTAAGTTTACACGTGCCTGATCTGTAGTGGATATCTCATTGTTAGTTCAGCGCCACTTCCTTCCTCTGAGACAGACTGACTCTTCCATACATAGACATAGTGGGGACTGTCAAATTATTATGGGAGCCAAGTCCCAGTTGATTTGCCCAGTTGGAATCAAGTATGCAACCCCTAATTCCTCATGTCTAGGTCGTTAATTAACCTCATTTTTTTTCGTATTTGAGAGCGAACTCCCAGACAGTGGTAAACATAGAAATGCTTAACACATGGGAACTGTTAGTTGCCATATTCTCCACCTACATCATTAAAGAAGTTCATCAGTAAAGAGAATGAAGCTAACAGGAAGGATGGTCTCCAGGGCTACTAACTCAAAACTTCAGACACTTTCTGTCCTCCTCATGGTTTATATATTCAACTTATCCTTCAATCAACATACCCTATATCCTTTCCTTTTAAAATTAAATAGCAATGGAGAGAAGTTCTCACTATGTTGCCCCCGCTGGTCTTTTCAACTTTCTGGTTGAAAAGGTCTGGGATGGAGCTAGAGAAACTTCATTTATTTTTTATTTTTCTGAACCTATGGATTATACTAAAACTTTTATTTCTAGTGAGTCCCCAAATGGTACCAATGCTGCTGGTCCAGGACCACACACTTTAAGAACCACTGGCCTACATTAAGAAAATGGCAGGCAAAGATCCTCAGAAACAAAGTCAACTCTCTACTAACACCTTGGTGGAAGAGGTGATGGACAGTGGGGAGAAGAAAGTGCTCACATAAAGTCCCATTAGTGAGGGGCAGAGTGGAGTTAATGAAAAGAAGACTTAGTCCTCACAGTCATTCAAAGACCCAGACTGACAATCTTTGCCATCTTCGGTGGCTTCCAAACTTATCCTGGATATGACCATGCAACCAGCAGTTGGGAGAAAAGAATGGAGGATCATGCAAGAAATGTTTATGGGGCAAGCCTGGATTCCTATGCCCACATTTCACTGCCTAGAACTTAATCATATGTTCTCACAGAGATGCTGGCAGTACGGAAATGTCCCTGGTTGGGTTGCCACATCTTGGCAACGTATCTTCAAAGAACAAGACTCTCTGGTAGACACCTAGCAGTCTCTGCCTTCAAACCCCTTTCCCATTGTGGACTTAAGCAAGTCTGGGCTTAGCTTTAAAGAAAATGTGTAGCTAATGACATAGACATCTTAATTACTAAAATTAATGTCTGTAACTTACAAAGGACTTATTACCTGAGTGACTGGAGAAAAAAACAATTCATGGGACTTGCCTGCAAGAGTCCATTCAGGATAGGGAGAAAAGACTGAGATAGTGGGTTTACAGGAGCAGTCATGAGGAAAAAATAAAGTTTCTGTTTTATAATTCTTCTGGGCTCCTCTCTATTAACATGTTATACTACCTTTTGCAGCTTAAGCAAAATTTTTAATGGAATAAGTTTAAAGATATCATAGTTTTACATTTATAGATTGATATCCATTATTCCTCTATCATTCTTAAAGCAAATGATAAATCCCCTTTACAAAGACGAAACCTTTTGCTATTACTGAGGTTATCATCAAAGTTTTACTGCAACTCCAAAACATAGGAATGTCCCATACAACAGCGGTGAACACTTTGCTTTTTAAAGTGATTATTCTTAGTGCAGGGGTACTCATTTGTCTATGCTTGTTATACAGTGAAATTACTGCCTATGACATCTCATAATTGAAAAAGTTGGAGTCAAGATTAAAGCTGTTTACATTTTTAGTGAAACCTCTCTTAAGACTGTCCAAAAGAAAATAAACTAATATATGAGGCTATTTATCAAAAGGAAAAAAGAAACATAAACATCTTTCATGGTCTTTCATTCATTTCATCAATTAGGACACACAAGGCAGCATCTTTCTCTATAATCTGATCTCTCCTATGACCTGAATTTTCTCTTTGTTCATTCTGTCCAGTACAATTGTTGCTATCATCAGCATCCATTGGTTCAGTTTTTACTCTCATTCCTGCTTCTGAATGAGGCAAATCATCAGGCAAAGAAGCCAAGCAATTCTGAATCATTTCAATTACTCGTTCTAGGTGCTTTTGAAACCTCTCAGCTGTTTCAAGCCGTTGACGTTTCTGGACCTCCATCATGACTCTCAAGGTCTCTCTTGCTTGGTGGGGTCGGTATTCATTTATAAGATGATGCACGTGTACAAAAAGCAGCTTAAGATCTTCTAGTTTCTCTTCTCGTTTTATACTCCCAGGGCTCCTTATTAAAATATCTAAAAGGTCCAAGAAATTAATAAGGATAGACATATTAAGTTTTCTCAGTTCTTTTTTGTGATCAAACTGCATAGGATGAAGCCGTTCGATGCCCTGACTTTCCAAAGGGCGGATGATAAGATCATCGCATTGGAACTGATTGCCAAACATCATGTAACTATCTTTTATTGGAGGGGGAGGCTTGGGAGCTAAGCCTTCTTGAATATTTTCATCTGTATATTCCTTAATATATTGCATTGGAGGTGGTGGAAGTGCACTTACTTGCTGTGGTTCACCCATTGTGGACTATCAAGAACCTATGGACACAGACCAAAGATTTATTAGAGCCACAAAACAAACCTGTTACATTTCATAACTACAGACAGAATATTTTCTTCCTTTTCTTCCAGTAGTTTGGGGTCCAAGACAAGATGATCTCCTTGGTTTCTAAAACTAACATTTATGATAGGTAAAGTTTGCCATATTTTCTAAGTAGGCATTATATTCTCAACCATTCACATATTTTCCATTCTCTCCCTAATAATTCCATCAGCATGAAAAAATCTGTAGCATCTTCTGATCTCTAAAGAAAATCTTCCACCGGGTGCGATGGCTCACACCTGTAATCCCAGCACTTTGGGAGGCCGAGGCAGGCGGATCACAAGGTCAGGAGATCGAGACCATCCTAGCTAACAGGGTGAAACTCCGTCTCTACTAAAAGACAAAAAAAATTAGCCGGGCATGGTGGCGGGTGCCTGTAGTCCCAGTTACTCAGGAGGCTGAGACAGGAGAATGGTGTGAACCCAGGAGGCGGAGCTTGCAGTGAGCCGAGACTGTACCACTGCACTCCAGCCTGGGCCACAGAGCGAAAATCTGTCTCAAAAAAAAAAACAAGAAAATCTTCTGGATTCCACACCCTTCACCATTTATGCCCCCATTTCTCTACTCCTCCATAACCAAACTACACGTTGTCTCCCAATCTCATATCACAATCACTTTTGCTTTATGTTACAGATTGATTTCCAATAGCAAACACTTACTTGTATCTCTCATAAACACTGACAAAATTAACACTGCTAAATCCTAAACACATGGTATTATCCAAAGTTCCTGAATGAAATGATTCAGTTCCATATCCTTTTTGTCACAGTAAACTATGCAATTTTATATGGACACATTAACTTTTTTTTTTTTTGAGACGGAGTCTTGCTCTGATGCCCAGGCTGGAGTGCAGTGGTGCGATCTCAGCTCACTGCAACCTCCGCCTCCTGGGCTCAAGCAATTCTCCTGCCTCAGCCTCCCAAATAGCTGGGATTACAGGCGCACACCACCATGCCCGGCTAATTTTTGTATTTTTAGTAGAGACAGGATTTCGCCATGTTGGCCAAATTGGTCTCTTAATTCCCCACCTCAGGTGATCCGCCCACCCTGGCCTCCCAAAGTGCTGGGATTACAGGTCTGAGCCACCGCGCCCGGCCTGTATGGACACATTAACTTCCCTACAACTATCACAGAAATTTCAAACCCCAGGTTCAAACCCAGTATCTTCTATGGCCATAATAACCTCTACTTACTCTACCTTAAGCCTAGATATACCATCCAATGAGAAGATTCTGAAGTGCTCCTTTACACTGGTATTATCAAAGTTTCAAGATATAACACCCTCTAACATTAGGTGGGGCAAGTATTCTATTAGAAGCAATATTATACTTAGAATTCGTGAGGTACTAAGGGCAGGCGTGGTGCAGCCCTGAGTTTCCACCATGCCACAGTAGTGCATAGGATGATGCAGCCTCGACCTCCCAGGCTCAAGCCATCCTCCCACCTCAACCTCCCAAGCAGCTGGGAGTACGAGGCAAATGTCACCACGCCCAGCTAATTTTTGTATATTTTGTAGAGACAGAGTTTTGCCATGTTACTCCGGCTGGTTTTGAACTCCTGAGGTCAAGCAATCCTCCTGCCTTGGCCTCCCAAAGTGCTGGGACTACAGGTGTGAGCCACCACTCCCAGCCAACATTTTAAAACTTATAACATAAATTCAGATTACAGAAAAAGTGCATGAATATACAAAGAACACTTCATATTCTTCACTCAGATTCTCCAAATGTTAACATTTTCCTTCATTTGCTTTATTGGTTTCTCATTCCTTCACCCCTGAATACTTCAATGTGTTTTCCCAGGACAAGAATGTTTTCTTCTACCCACAGCACAATTACCAAAATCAAGGAATTAACATTGATCTGGTACTTCAAAACACAGTTTTTGACACCTTACGTTTCATTCCACTCAAACCTTTTTAGGTGAGGAGTGCTGCTCTGTACTTTCCTACACGATGTGCATTCCTGTACTTAGGTTGTCATTTTCCTAAGGCAACTACGTGACAGATACTGTTGTTTTATGGCCTCTCTAACATAATCTTCATAACAATTCTATGAATTAAGGTTGTTTGTTTTGTTTTTTGAGACAAGGTCTCAATCTGTCTCCCACGCTGGAGGGCAGTGGTATGATCAGGGCTCACCGCAACCTCTGCCTCCCGGGTTCAAGAGATTCACCTGCATGACCCTCCTGAGTAGCTAGGGACTACAAGTGTGTGCCACCACGCCCAGCTAATTTTTTATTTCTCGGTAAAGACAGGTTTTCACCATGTTGGCCAGGCTGGTCTGGAACTCCCGACCTCAAGTGATCCGCCCACCTCGGCCTCCCAAAGTGCTGGGATTATAGGCGTGAGCCACCACAGGGTCCCATGAATTAAGTTCTATTATCAATTTCATTTTAGAGGTGAAGATCCCAAGTCTCAATGAGGGGAAGTGTTGCCCCAGATCAAAAAGTTAATAAATGGTACAACAGGAATTCTTATCCCAGGTCCCTTTAGCTCCAAAGGGCAAGCTCTCTTATATCTCTAAGCCGTGAAGCATCTAATTGTACAATTAGAACTTGCATATTACAAAAATTATATTTTTCTCTACTGTCTCTCTAGATGGAACTTTTCAAAGGCGATGGAAGTCTTATTTTAATAAAACCAGAGCCAAGCATCATAACTGGTTCTTAGACTCAAGATCCAACATCTAGTGTTTGTTCTGGGGGAGAAGGCGCCTCACCAGAAGACGACAGATATTCCAGGGTCCCAGCCCCAGAGATTTGATTCATTCTGTCCACTGTGAATGGGCCCTGGTATGTCGCTTTAAAAACCTCTCCAGATGGACCTGACGATTAGGCTTGGTTGGGATCTACTGCCCTCGCCTGCCCCCGTATCTCAGCTGTTTCACAACTGCTCCCAGAAGAAGGAAGGGCAAGGAGGGCTACTCTCATGTTACAAAGGGCCAGAAAGGGCAAATAACTCGCCCAAGGCCACACAGCCTAGAAAAACAGCGGCGAGGGGACTAGACACCACGTCTCCCAACCTCCACTCCGGCTCGGCGTCCCCACACGGAGGAAGCCCTGGGACTGCAGCGCTAAGAGCCCCCTCCTCCAGGCTGTCCATCCCGAGACCTTCACGAGCGGCGGGGAGGCCGCGCTCTCGGAGAGACTCGGGACAGAAAGACGAGAGAGCGTCTTCGGAGGCCGAACTCCTCCATGCCTCCCCAGTTCCCAGCCCAGCACAGAGGAAACCGCGGGGTCCGGAAGAAAAAAACGCACACACGCAGGAGCCCCAAGCCGTTGCCGCCCACTCACCTCAACTCTGGCTTTACACTGGTAGCCGCCTTCCCCCTCTGCAGCCGAAACCAATTTCCGGTCTCCTCCTGGAAGAAGCCACCGACTCTGTCTTTGATTGGCTGTAGGAGCTGTCCTTTAACGAGATTCTAGATCCGCCTCAGACCGATCGCTCGCTATTGCGCCTGCGTATATTCGACTCCTGCCATCGCCACCCCTTTCACTGACTTTTAAAAGTAGTAGGTGAGGGTTGTTTCTTCGTTTCTTTAAGGCATAAAATTAAACAAGACATCTTATTGCTTTATTTTTTATAGACCCCTTATTGACTAGAAAAAATCTTATATTTTGCCGGGCGCGGTGGCTCAAGCCTGTAATCCCAGCACTTTGGGAGGCCGAGATGGGCGGATCACGAGGTCAGGAGATGGAGACCATCCTGGCTAACACGGTGAAACCCCGTCTCTACTAAAAAAAAAATACAAAAAACTAGCCGGGCGAGGTGGCGAGCGCCTGTAGTCCCAGCTACTCGGGAGGCTGAGGCCGGAGAATGGCGTGAACCCGGGAGGCGGAGCTTGCAGTGAGCTGAGATCCGGCCACTGCACTCCAGCCTGGGCAATAGAGCGAGACTCCGTCTCAAAAAAAAAAAAAAAATCTTATATTTTAATATGTAACATGCTCTTGTAAGACTTCCATGAATTTAGACATTTATGACGCGAAAATAACCTCCCAAAGAAAACCTAGCAAAGGTTGTTCGTGTGTTCCACCCGCTGCCCGCATTACAACTCTTCTGCTGACAGTCGCAGCTGGTAGTTCCATTCCTTTTGTCTTTTCTTTTTTAATTTAACCCATACAATGAAGACATCTTACATAAAAATTCGAAAATATAGATATGCAGGGTTTTTTGTTGGTTTATTTTGTTTTATTTATTTATTTTTTTTCTTTGAGACGGAGTGTCTTTCGCCCAGGCTGGAGTGCAGTGGCGCGATTTTGGCTCGCTGCAACCTCTGTCTCCGGGGTTCAAGCGATTCGCGTGCCTCAGCCTCCCAAGTAGCTGGGATTACAGGCATGTGCCACCACACCCGGCTAATTTTTTTTTTTTTTTCCTTTTTTTGTATTTTTAGTAGAGACAGGGTTTCACCATGTTGGTGAGGCTGGTCTCGAGCTCCTGACCTACAGTGATCCGCCCGCCTTGGCCACCCAAAGTGCTGGAATTACGGGCGTGAACCACGTAGCCCGGCCTCCCCCATTTTAATTCCCCCGCACATATAAATTTATTTCCTGAAGAAATTCATCCTCACTGCTGACCCCAATATGTCCTGCACCCGTGACTTCCAATGCTTTTTCCCAGTCCTCGTTTTACTCCCTCTGTCAGCAGCATTTGGCACATTTGATTATTTGGATTGCCCCAGGACTCAGTTCTCCAACCACTTCTCAGTCAGATATCACCCAGATACATGCAGGCCCTGGAACACCGTTTCCTCTGCACTTCAGACCCTCATATCCAGTGGTGACAGACATCTTTACCCCGTTGCACTTTACTCAATTGCAAATGTTCAATCTAAGGAATCACCTTTTTCTCCTTTCTCCCATACCCCACCGAAACTACCATACCAGCCTTTTGCATTAGCTCTATTTAAAAATAAGTAAATAAAGTTCCAAATATGACTGACCACCGTCCCTACTGGTATGGTCCTATGCCATGCTGCCATTATCTCTCATCTGGATTTCTTTGATTTTTGTCCTGCCTTAGTCTATTTACCACACCTTCTTAAAATATAAAACCAATCTTAACGCTCTTCTATTCAAAATCTTTCTACTACTTTTAGAATAAAATCTGACATCCTCCCCCGGCCTATATAATAGGCCCTAAAAAATTGCCAAGTACATCCCGGTCTTGGGGGCAGATGCCTTTGCCTGGAATAGATATTCACACGTCTCATTTCCTTATTTCTCTCCCTTTTTTTTTTTTTTTTTTTTTTTTTTTTGTATTTTTAGTACAGATGGGGTTTCACCGTGTTAGCCGGGATGGTCTCAATCTCCTGACCTGGTGATCCGCCCGCCTCGGCCTCCCAAAGTGCTGGGATTATAGATGTGAGACACCGCACCCGGCTTCATTTCCTCATTTCATTCAGGTTTCTGGTCAAATGTGACCTCAAAGAGTTCTTCTGGGGTTACACTACTCTATACAAAATAGCGCATCCCCAATCTTTCTGTTGGGAAATGCCCCTGAAACCCTTTCTATGTATTATCTTTTTTTCATAGAACCTCTCATCATCTGAAATCATCTTATATAGTGTATTTATGTATTTTATTGCCTTTCTTATCCATCAGAAATATCAGGTTTATGAGCATGGGACCTTTGTTTCATTTACTGCTGTTGTGTTTGAACTTACATACAAGAGTGGCTGAAATTGGCAAATACTCAATGAGCGTTTATTGAATAAGGAACGAAATGAATACAATCATCACTTTCAAATAAATTCATAGTGTGGCTTTGGTGGTTATACCACAGTCTCTTTAGCCAAAGCCTCATTGTGTTAAATTACGTTTCTCCCAATTTTAGCCAGTATAACTACACAGGATGAGGAGCATCCCAGTGCATATATGTTTGTGCATGTGTCCAATTCTGTTCTTCAGAATAAATTTCTAGAAATAGAATTACTGGGCCCAAAGGTGCAGTGTCTTGACAGTAGCAGAATGAAGGCTAGAATCTTGGACTCTTGACTATCAATCTAGTGTTCTTTCCAATAAACTTCAAATGAATAATGGATATGAAGTGCATATCATGAGAAGGGCTAGTGACAATATGATGTGTGTTACACATTTAATTATGTGACTATATTTGCAGAATCTCGATGGAAAGCTTATTCCTTAAAGATGCCTACTGCAGCTTAACAAGGAATATGCTCATTGAATAAATATGTATTGTGTATCTGTTGTGCCGGCACTGGTCTGGAAGTCTAAAAAGACAGACAAAAGCCAGTGGGGCCTTTGAAAAAGGTGTTCTCACGGCCGGATGCAGTGGCTCACGCCTGTAATCCCAGCACTTTGGGAGGCCGAGGCGGGCGGATCACGAGGTCAGAAGATCGAGACCATCCTGGCTAATACGGTGAAACCCTGTCTCTACTAAAAATACAAAACAATTAGCCGCGCGTGGTGACGGGCGCCTGTAGTTCCAGCTACTCGGGAGGCTGAAGCAGGAGAATGGCGTGAACCCGGGAGGCGGAGCTTGCAGTGAACTGAGATCGCGCAACTGCACTCCAGCCTGGGTGACAGAGCGAGACTCTGTCTCAAAAAAAAAAAAAAAAAAAAAGACAAGAAAAAGGGGTTCTCTCTAGAAGGTGTTCTTTTGAGAGACACAGACAAGGAGTATACAAACAAGTAAAAACTTCGAATAGTGACAAGGGCTATGGGGGAAAGTATAATACAGATTAATGTGACAGTGACGTGGGTTGGGGGATAGCTGCTTTACAGAGGGTGGTCAGGGTAGCCTCTCACAGAAGGTTAACTCTGGAAACAAGATATCAAGGAGTGAATTGTGCAGAGATCTGGAAGACAGCAAATGCAAAGAGCGTGGGGCTGCCATGATCTTTCTGAATTAGAGACAGGAAGGGAGCCTGTGTGCTCCATAACTAGTGAGCAAAGAAAGAGTGGGGGAGATGAAAGGGTAGAAATGGGCAAAGACGCACGGTAACTGACTTCTTGCCTCCCTTAGGATCTTGGCACATTATAGAAAACATCGCTATCATTTGAACCTAAATGGCAAGCAGAAATTTTTAGTTTCCACCCTATTGATTTTTTAAAATTTAGGTTTATTGAGGGATACTTCACATAGAATAAAATTAACTCTAGGTGAATAGTTATGTGTGTTTTGATAAATACACACTGACATAAAACCACTACCGCCCGGATTAAGATGTAGACTATTTCATCACCCCAAACAATGTTTTTTTTATTCGATTCCTTCCCTTTATCCCCATCCTCTAGTAACCACTGATCTGATTTCTGTTCATATAGTTTCACCTTTTCCAGAATGTCATATAAATGAAATTAGAAAGTATGCAGTCTTTGGTATCTGGTTCCTTTCACCCAGCATAATACTTTTGAAGTCCATCAATGTTGTTCAATGTATAATACTTTGTTCGTTTTTACAGATAAGGAATGTTCCATTGTATGAATGTGCTGTAATTCATGTATCCCTTCACTGGTTAATAGACATTTGGGTTATTTCAGTTTGAAGTGATTATTAGCAAAACTACTATAAACGTTCCCATGCAAGTCAATTGTATGGACATATGTTTTCATTTCTTTTGGCTAACAACATAGTGATACAATTGCTGGACCTTATAATAATTATATATTTAACTACATGAGAAACTGCCAAGCAGTTTTCTAAAGAGGCTGCTTATTTTTCATCTCTCAGCAATCTGCAGGAGGTATAGTTGCCCTCAATCTGCACTTGGTATTATCCTTTTATTTTTTACTTTTTGCTATTCTAATATCTGTATAATGATTTTAATTTGCATTTCCTTCATATTAGATATCTTTCATGTGTTTACTGGCCATATATATCTTTTCTTTGGTGAACTGTCTGTTCAAAATTTTTGCCCAATTTTTAAATTGGCATGTTTTCTTACTATTGAATTGCAAGGGCACACACACACAAATACACGCAAGGTATAAGTCCTTGATCAGATATGTCTTTTACAAATATTTTCTCCTAGTCTGTGGTTAATCATTTCATTTTTTAAGTGTCTTTCGGCAAGCAGAGTTTTTTCTTTTTGATGATGACCAGTTTATCAATTATTTTCTTTCATGGTTCATACTTTTTGTGTCCTTTCCAAGAATCTTTGCCTAACTCAAAGTCACAAAGATTTTTCCTCTGTTTTCTTCTACAAGTTTTCTAATTTTAAGTTTTACATTTAGGTCCATGATCCTTTGGGGGTTAATTTTTGTATTTGATGCCCGGTAAGGGTCAAAATTCCTTTTATTTTTTTATTTATGCTTATGGAAGTCCAATTGTTACAGCAACTTGTTAATTTTGTTAGCCTTACTACCTCTGTCATTGGTAGACAGGTTTATAGATAATAATCTCTGAGCATCTGTTAGTCAGTTACATTGTATCTTTGGCTTGCTGATC